TACACTTCTTTTCCATTTTGTCCATTTTTTTTCTAGTAGATAAATATCCCTAGTTTTCTACCAATTTTCCAGGCTGTCATAGACTTATTAGATGTTCATACCATAATGTGTTATATCTGTTATATGTCACACATAACATATGCGTTATATGTCACACATAACAGTCTACATTTGTTGCCTAATGAGGTTAGGTTGAGTGCTACATTTTCTTGCTTTCCTATATTTTCTCGTTTTAATTTTGCTATAGTAGGTATTAGCATTTGGGACACTGGTATGCTCATTTTTTTAACAGCTGTTTCTTTCACCTAAATAACAGTGAAGCACACAGAAATGTCTACCACAAAATCATCTACTGAATAGTTAGGTGGATTAATTAATATCTAAAACCCCTTTGTCAAATATTTACATAGAGTTACTCTTCTATTATAGTTAAGGCACTACTAAAATCATATTGCATATATTTTAATTTTAAAAATTTATGGTTATAATGATAAGAATATTTTTGTTCACTGTTTTTATCAATCCATACATTTTGTTTCTTCATGCATTCACCAATTTAAGTATAGAGGCAAAAATAGCAAAAAACATGAAGCTATATTTTTGTGATGGGGACAGACAGTAAGAAATAATAATAGACAGCGAGACAGTGATATATGCTAGAAGCAAAAACAGGGAGGGAAAGAACATTCGACATACACATTAGGAGAGGTCTGCCTGAGAAGATCAGGATGGAGGTCACTCTTTTTGCTGTGAAAAGTATGTAAGAGAATCAAGATAAAGAAGGAAGGGGTTACTGGCTGACACGTTTGGAGGCTACATGACCACTGTTACTGTGTCTGGACCCATGATGAGGCAGAACACCATGATAGCAGCTGTGCTAGAGAAAAATCAAGTTACTCGCCTCATTTAATATAATCAGAGGATTATATTAAATGAATGTCTTCAGTATCACACTAAAGCCAGGCCCCATAGTCCATAGTCTATCACTCATGTTGATAGTCTACTCAGTGGATTCAACCATAGACAAGGTCAGAGTCATCATGATCATGTTCCAGGCATACCCACAGATGTATTTTTACTAATCTCCTAGGCATCTCTCAAGCCAAACAAATTGACAAACAAAATTACATGTCACATTAACAGCTAAGCCCCAAACAAGACATTAATACCTTTCCTTCTAAGACTCCGCGAGCATTGTGGGACAGAAGACAGAAAGAATATAAGGGTGAGATTAAGAGCAGTAAAAATGCTGTCTTCTGTGCATGACACAGCACTTGTTAAAATGGTTTCATAGCAGCTGTGGTGAGACACTTGTTTTCATAAGAGTGAGCATGGCGTGAAATGGGGCAGACTCCTGGGGATGTACCTTTCTCTTCTAAGCTATTAGCCACTGCTGGATTTTTAGGAAGGAGCGTTCACAGTCTTCAATTGTGCACTTGTAAGTAGGTCCACTAGGATCTAATGGAGAGTTCTAAACCTCTGGTCACAGAGATGGCCCTTGTTAAAGCTAGTGAGTAACAAAGCAAAACAAAGCAAAATGATGTGGGTGTGAGAAAGGGCTTTATGGGAAAGAGAGAGGAGAGATGGGCGAAGGTTGAGGGTAAGTGTAAGCAGAGCACATTATATATGCATAAAGTGTTGAAGAACAGATTTAATAAAAACTAGAAGATAATGTTCAGCTTAGGTAAGGTAACAAACGAGGGGACATGACAGAAGGTTCTGGAGTGATAGAAGTGATCTGTGTGTAGTCGCAGAGGTGACCACACTGGTGTCTATAAACATGAGCAGTTATCAGAGCACTGGACATCCTCAGCAGTACGTGCTTTATTCCAACTAAAAGAAACGTAGGAAAAGATTAACCATCATAATAGGCTTGGAGAAGATTCTTTTTAAAACTCCTCATATGTAAGTTGTCCAGCGTCATGGGTTTCATTGTATTTGATTTATTTATTGCCTGTGTGTGGAGGTGTGTATGTGTGCAGGGCCTGTGTGTGTGTGTGCAGTCAGAGGTCAATGTCAGGTGTCTTCCTCTGTAATGCTCTACCTTATTTTCTGGATCAGGGATTCTTGCTGAAGTGGGAGCTCAACAAACTGGTAAGACTAGCTGGCCAGCAGTCTCCAAGGTCCTCCTCTCCCTGCTGTACCAGTGAGCGCTACCATACCCAACTTTTCCTATGGGACCTGGACTTAGGTCCCCATTCTTGTGCAGTGACATCACTTTGATGAACCTTCTTGTAGCTGGAAGTCTGATGGATTCACACATGCACTTTTCTTTGATCACACCCACTTCCTCTCTCCACCTCTCTTGCACCTTCATAAGCAACTGAAGCTATTTGGTGTGGCCACAACAGCAAGCACGGAACCCTATTGTTAGATTTTCCTATATCTTGCCACCTATATCCTAAGGGGACTGCACCCCATCCACTTTACTTGCTCTTTTAAAACATTTTTATTTGTCTTATCAAGTGTCATTTCCATCTCAGGATAGTGGAGGGAAGTGCTGATTTCAAGAATATATGGCTTGATTGCATTTTTTTTTAAAACAAACTCTGTTCCTCCTCCACTATGTGGAAAGATTCACTGAACTTAATTTACAGCATCCAGTGTACTCTTTATCCTCTCAGTCAGATCATCCCTACTTTTAAAATTAATTAATTAATTAATTTTCAAGCCTTATCAGTTTTTCCTCCCTCCCTTCTCTCTTCCCAGACCCTCCTCTCTCCTCAGCCCACTCCTCCTTTGTCTTCAGATAAGCGCAGGCCCCCCTATGTATAACAGCCAACCATGATATACTAAGTTGCTGTAAGCCTAGGCACCTCCCTTATATTAAGGCTGGATTAGGCAACCCAGAATGAGGAAAAGGGTCCGAAAAGCAGGCGAAAAGAGTCAGCGACAGCTCCTGTTCCACAAGAAGTCCCACAAGAATATTAAGCTACCCAACTGTAACATGTGCAAAGGTCCTAGATTAGTTCAGTTGAAGCCAAAATATATAAAAAACTCAAGAAACTAAACATCAACAAACCAAATAATCGGATTAAAAATGGGGTACAGATCTAAACAGAGAACCCTCAACAGAGGGATCTCAAATGTCTGAGAAGCACTTAATGAAATGTTCAACATCCTTAGCCATCAAGGAAATGCAAATCAAAACAACTCTGAGATTCCATCTAATACCTGCCAGAATGGCTGAGATCAAAAACACAAGTGACAGCTTCTGCTGGAGAGGATGTAGGGCAAGGCAAATACTCCTTCATTGCTGGTGAGAGTACAAACTTATACATCCAGACTTTAGTATATACTTCCACCTCCTTCATCTTGTCTTAGTTTTTATCTGTTATGTTCATGCAACATGTGGGAAGAAGACAATTCATCACTCCCTTCTCTCCAACCTTCTCTAACTATCTTCATACTGGACAAACCCTGCTGGGTCAAGGACAGGAGGCATAGAAAAGGGACTTTATGGAGAAGGGCAGTTATTTCCAACTTTCCTCTGCTATGTGTCTTTGTCTTGATGAACAAGTCATGTTTCAAATGCCACAGAGCATATGAAAAGATGCCACTTTGGTTATCTTTAGTTTATGCCAGTGTAGTACTTAAGAGTGTCTAACATTAACTTTTGTCATTAATACTCAAGTAAAATCCAGGCTTTCTCTCTGGCATATAACTGAACTTCAGAGAAGTAAATTAATGTGTTATAAATATCAAAGTTGCCACTTTATACTTCATTAAATTTCACATTTTAAATAAGAATAAAGCCAGTGATTTAACTGTGGGCTTTGGCCATAGATTGTTGTGGGAGATCTTGTGTAAAGATGATATAGTTGTTCAAATTTAGTGGATCTGGAAAATATATCAATATTTTCTATTGTTTTCCCTAAATCTTTGGCTGAGACACCCTACAGAGACAAAGACGACCTATAGAAATGTGTGTGCAACATCTTCCGTTTCTGAATTGATTTCCTAAAATGTCATAATCAAAAGCACCTTCTATTAGTTGATTGAACTTCTATAAACGATTTCGAAATGTTTTAGATTTCACTGTTTGGAAACTAGAAAAGCAATCATTTGTATTTATTTTCTTACATCATTTCCATCTCCTGAAATCAGCTACACTTTGTTTGGTAATTAAGGTGACAGACAGGAAAATTTAGTTGTTAATCCCAATAAATTAGAGAATCAGCAGTAGTTGTAAGCATTCAGTGTGCACAGCACGAGGATCAGGGTCTGGTTAACCTGCACCCCAGTCTGAGCTGATGACCACTTCTGAGGAACAGGTGGACGGTGTCTCCTGGCTCTTAATAAGAAACAACACATGCTGTAAAAATGTTTTTTTAATTTGAGAGAAAGACATTTAGTAAGGACTCAGGGACAGGGGTATGGGAAAATGTCTTTCTAGAAGAGGACAGGATGAACAACACAACCAATGTGTGATGTCTGTTCTGAAATAGCAGGCAGCACACCATTAATTGGTAACATTGATATGACTTCAGAAAACAACGTAGAGGGCTGAAGAATGGCTCAGTGGCAGTGTGCTTGGTTAGCACTGAAAAAGCAAACCATCATCAACAGAGGAAAATGTAAATAAAAGTGCATTTCAAAGGCACATGCACACTGGCAGTAAACAATAGAAGCTGTCTGGAAATACGATGCAACAAGAACACTAAGCTCTAAATGTGAGAAAGGTGGGAAGTTGACTGTCATTTAAAAGGCAAATATAAAATCAGCTTTTAGTTGAAGGGGACAAAGAGTAGGAAGAATAATCGATATAGTTTGGCTCCTTAATTTTGCCAGACTGCATTTAACTTTTCTGTTTTTTTTTTTGTCTTTAGTTTTCAAGACAGAAAAACTAGGTGCTTCAGTGACAAAATGAATGGATTTTCAGAACATGCTATCAGTCTCCATTAAGTCCTAATAAATTGTGATGATAACATAGTCTGGAATCCAAAGGCACATTCTGTGCTCTTCCACATGGAGATCAGTCCTAGAGATCAGGCACTCCACAGCAGCCTTGCTTCGTCCAGATATCAGAATGTTTGCCAGTTCTTGAGCTTAAAGATATTAATCTGAAAATAAGACCACATCACAGGCAATGGATTAGGGATGATGATTCATCAATGCATATTTACCTTTGAGCTGAAAATTACATCTATAAATCTGTCGAAGAAACATTTTCCTTTAGTTTGGAAAAAGAGCAAGCTTCTTTATGCTTCAAGAGAAGACAATGAAATACTTAAAGACCCCTTAAATGATTGATTGAAATCTGTGACATGGCCTTTTTAGGTTTCCTAAGAGACAACTACCATTTTACCTTCTTTAATGATCTTTCTTGCAGGAGAATCCAAATTCCTTTTCAACTTGGAGTCGAGCAGGAAACTAGAAATTAATAATAAAAAAAATGAACAGAGCTAAGACTTTTCCATTTTAAGGTTCAAAAGGAAACATTATAAAGCATAGTTGCCTTTCATTCTTGGGAAAAAACCCAGCTCTGTAAGGTAACTTTTAGACAGTTCTCTATCATAAAGGGAAATAGTCACAGTGAAGCTCGACTCCACTGCAGTCTTAGGGTTTGATTTCTTCAGATGCAGGATCTCTCTGTGTCCTCTAGGCTGACCTTGGACTTGCTCCCTTCCTCCCTTGGCTTCCCCAATGCTGGGATTAGAGTCCAATACATCATACCTGGCTCAACGTTTGCTTCAGCTTTGAGGGGAAACAGCAAAGCAATGGAAACTTACACTTATGCAAAATTTCTCAAGTCTTAAAGACTTTATATTTTAAATATACTTTAAATTAAATATACTTAAAATATAAAGTATAGCCTTAAAGTGTGTGAATATATCTTATTTTCTGTCCTTCAGATATTGAATAAGGATCTTTGTTTGATACAGTTTTTTTTTTTTTGAGACAGGGTTTCTCTATGTAGCCTTGGTTATCCTGGAACTTGCTCATTAGACGAGGTTAGCCCTTGAACTCATAGAAATCCATCCCAAAAATCCTGGGATTAAAGGCATGCGCCAGCACTGACTGGTGACAAAGTGTTTTTATAACTCTTGTGCCTCAGTGTGGTCTGCAATTCTGCCCTCCAATGAGCAGAGAGCCTATAGCATACTCTACAGTGGGTCACGAAATCCAGAAATGCAAGCACTTTAAGTTATTCTTGAAGCATGAAGGACTTTTATGATAAAAATATTCCTTATCTGAAACAGGGAAACTGAAAGGGTTACTACAACTTTGAAAAATTAAAATGATTTCATTAGGAACTTGCCAATGACTTTTAATCCTTTATTTTAGCAAGAAATTAAAAAGCAACGTCACTCTTGATAACAGCACACACTTTCCATGTCACATGAGCAGGAAGATGAAATAATGTGGTTTTCATAAAGTATTTGTGGTCAGGACACTAACTATGATGTCTTGAAGTGTCTTGATTTTCAGTTAATCTTTTCTGTCTTAATGATCTTCTTATTCTCTTAGCATTTTCTTATCGTTGATGTGAAATGCTACATATTTGCACAATCAATACTTTGGGGCTATATATTTCCTATACACTGACCATAATGACTACACTTCCTGAATAAAATTCTCATTAGATTTTTATTGTTAAAATTGATGTGCTCACAATTCCTTTAACATTTATTTTTTATGGACACATTGAATCCAGCTATACTTGTTTTTTTTCCATCTAAGAATTCCATCTTTATTTTTTCTAAATAATAAATTTTCTTAAGTTTCTACTCATGGATTTTTTTGAGACAGGTTTTCTGTGTATTCCTGGCCATCCTGGAACTAGCTCCATAGACCAGACTGGCCTCAAACTCACAGAGATCCTTGTGCCTCTGCTTCCCAGTGCTGGGACTAAAGATGTATGGTACCACTGCCCAACACTTCTCATGGGTTTTAAATATAATGATTATCTAGTTTTTCTGATTCATGGGCTCAAAGAATAGATAAGATGGGAAAAATTTATATTCCTCAGCAGAGAAAGTCTTCCTTTGTATTAAAAAAGATTAAAATGAACAGAACTTACCTTATTGTTGAAGGGACTACTGTACAATATATCATTGTGGGCAGTATTACCTATAAATATAGACTTTGATTATTTCTTCACTTAATAAAATAATAATTCATTTATTTATCATGAAAATAATATGAAACATGGAATATGAGTAAATAGAAATTAAATTGGTAACAAGGACATATTACAAGTGTACTAGATAAACTGAACATTATATTCATATAGTATATTAAGGAGTACATTGAGAAGTCAGTTCTGTTTAGACATAAAATTTCAAACCCTAGTATTAACAACCTCTATTTAATTAAAACCCTTTTATTTTTTTTCACCATTTGTCAGAACTAATTATTTGCAAATCACAGTATTCTAGGCTCCCCACTGGCAACTACACTGCTCCCCAAATGTTACCATGTGACCCCCCATTTTCATTGAGCCATACACTGTACTCCAATTGCTTATCCCTCTTGCAGTTACCGGTTTCGACTGGTTGTTCAATAGGTCTCTATCTGGCTTCTAACTCTTCTTTTCCCTCCCAACATTTTTCAAATATTCCTCTTTTCATTACATTCATATGAAACACTTGGTTCGTGGAGCACAAATTTAATTTTCCCTATCAATGACTTCCATCACCAACTATCAGACTCCAGTTCCATAAGTCATTATCATTCTTTATAACGAATTCCCACGTACATTTTTCAGTTACATTTTACATATGAGAAAACAGTCTGATTCGTCCATGTGAAGACAGGAAAGAGTTCATGCCATGAGAAGAATACACAAAGATGAGGTGGTAAGGGATCAATGCTGTGTAACATAGCTAACCAGCAGACCCCCAATACTAACACAATAGGAGGAAAAACAAGACTCCAATCTAACCAAAAGAATAGCAAAAGAGCAAGCCCCTCTCAACAATAACTTTAAATGAAAAATGTCTCAATTTCTAACATGTCACTAGCTAACTGTTTGCATTTAAAGACAAGATTCAACCATCTGTTATCTCAAAAAATGCACTTAGCAAACCAGCCCGCAAATCACAATCCCAGAGAACCTAGACAACAATGAGGACCCTAAGAGAGACATACATAGATCTAATCCACATGTTAAATAGAAAAAGAAAAGATCTCTTGAGTAAATTGGGAGCATGGGGACCTTGGTAGAGATTTGAAGGGGAGGGGAGCGACGGGGAGGGGAGCAGAGAAAAATGTAGAGCTCAATAAAAATCAATAAAAAAGATGCACTTAGCTATCAAGGGCATCCAAAACTGAGTCCGAAAGGATGAAACTCAACCTACTAATCAAACTGCCACAAGAAGCAAGCATAGCAATTATTATGCTTGCTAAAGAAGACATCCGAGCAAAACTAGTCAGGAGAGATAGAGACCTTCCATATTAACTAAGAGAACATTCACTAGGTAGACACAGCGACTGTAAATATGTGTGAACTGCATATTGGCATGTTATACAATAAACACTAAAAGACATAGAAGACCACATATGTGGCAGCACAATACTAGCGGGAGACTTCACTACTCCATTCTAATGATACAAATATGTTGGCTGCATTATATGATACAAAGTAATCCTTATTAAATACAAAAAGCCCTCCTTGGGACAATTCCTTTCCTTGCATTTATCAGATCACAATGAAATAAAAATATAAACAAACAGCAAGAGAAACCTCAGAAACAACAGACATTCAGAGACTAAATAATGTAATTTGGAATGAGTAGCAGGATACTAAAACCCAGGAATAACAACAAAAACCAGTAGCACACCCTACCAGATCCTCTAGATTCAGCTAAGGCAGCTCTACAGAAAAGTTTACAGCTTAAAACTGTAAGAGAAATCTCAAATAACCTAATGGTGTACCAGAAGACTCTTGAATAACAAGCCAAACCTAAGCCCAGTAGATGACAAGAATAAAGATCGGAGTGAAAGTTAACAAAATAGACTAAATGGATATTCCACAGATATGGAAGAGTTGGTTCTGTGAAAACATGAGCAAGGTTGATAAAACTAAAAATCTCCACAAAGAAAAGCCCAGGAAGAGGAGAATTTAACACTAATATGTCTCAAAATATTCCAAGAAATACAAAGGGAAGGCAACATTTCATACTTATTCTATGAAGCCAGAATGGGACACAACATAATAAAAAGAGAACTTCAGACTATTTCCTTGATGAATTATATATGGAAAACTCTTAACAAAATTGAAAAACATATTAACAAGATCAAACACCATGACCAAGTGAGTTACACTTTTAGTCTGGTCGTCCACATGCAAATCACCAAGCATATTATATAGTCTAATTAAAATGAGGATAGAAGCCACATGATCGTCTCAAAAGCGGCAGAAAAGGCATTTTTACAAAGACCTGGAGAAATTAGAAATAACAATAACATACTTCAAATTAATAAAGACTATATATATAAAAAGCTATAGTCAATTTTATACTAAATATGCACAATTTGAAAGATTTTTTTTCCTAAAATCTTGGCGATGACAAGGGTAATCAATCCACTCTTTTTCAATATAGTGTTCAAAACCACCAAGACAAGATAAAGCTGTAAAAGAAGTTAAATTATTCCTAATCACAACATGATTCTCTAAAAGACAAACTCCAGCAGGGTCCTCTGAGATCTAATAAACACATGGCACAATGTTTCAGGCTTCAAAACCAACAAATAGAAGCCATCATTTTTCATATATATGTGTGTGTGTGTGTGTGTGTATTTATATATAAAATAAACTTTCCAAGAAAGGAATTTGGAGAAAACATTTAATTCACAATATCTTAAAAAAATAAAACAAGACCAAATCAAACAAACCAAATCACTGGTAGAAATAAAAAGAACTAAAGAAGTGAGGTGCTCTAGAATGAAACTCCCACCCCCAGGAACCCAAGGGAAAACTGTGTGTGCTGTCTTTCCTATGCTGATCCTGGCTCTTAATGTTTCTGTGTGTACATACATATATAGGCTGTGCAATGAGATAAGGGATCATGGGAGGGGGAAAGGAGGTGTTGAGAAGGGGAGAGAGAGCAATTGAACAAATGTGTTATGAAACTGGGAAGGAGGCTGCTGAGGGTGACGGTACGTAAGGGGCACAGTATGGTAGGGCAGAAGAGAGGGGAGAAAGATCAGCAAAGACAAATCATGTTTGAAAATATTGTATACTAAATAAAAAACCAAAAACATATGAAGACCAAGAGCTTGAATTAGGTGCCAAAGGGCACAACAGGCCAAATCACCATGTCCCTTTCCTCTGTTATGATGGGATGCACCTTGCTGCTGTAGAGGCACCGCACTTTTATATTTGATGCCAGGTGGTTCTGCACATAAACATGCAATCTCTACAAAGTATAGACCAACATAAAACTGCTGGGGTTATATCAATTATAAACATCGAATGTGTACTTCATTATAGTTTAAATCCTTAATTTAATACTTAACACTTACCACTTGGATGGTGCACAATGGTGAGTTTATCTACAAGACAAAAAACAGTCTGTGAGGTTGGTTTAATATTTATCCCAATGGACCTTTTTATTGTTCTATGACTGTTTCTGAGGGGATTGAAATTTACAACATAAAGTGAAAATACTAACCCTCTCTCTGGATAATGTGTTAACCCGAGCCTCATTACATCTGTCCTTCCTGACATTTCCTGGGGTGTTATGGTCTGACACTTGATTGACAGCTGCTGGAATCCTGCTCTGTGCATTGATATCCCTTTAGTCTGAAACATTCTGTTCATTTTAGACATCTGATTTTCATTACTGCATATGATAGAGTATAAGCATTTCTAAGTGAATCTATAAGCGGATGATTTATAAAAACAAACCCATTAACTGTGTGCCTACCAATCCAACAGGTTTCCTCGTCACAGAATATACACTCAGAACCCTGTTAATCTCCATCAGAACGTTATTCCTCACAGTCTTTGCTGATAAGCTATACAGCTCTATAGATTAGTGTTGATTGTATTATTTTAGTCTGGAAAGCCAGCTGTGGTAGTTTAAATAAAAATGACCCCCATAGACTCATAGGGAGCAGCAATATTGGAGGTGTGGCATTGTTAGAGTAGGTGTGGCCTTGTTGGAAAAAGTGTGATAGGCTTCGAGGTCTCAGAAGCTCAAGTCAGGTCTTAGTGGCTCATTCTCTCTTTCTGCTGCCTGAAGATCCAGATATAGAAATCTCTGCTGCCTCTCCAGCATCATGTCTGCATACCACCATGCTTCCTGCCATGACAATAATGGAGTAAACCTCTGAAACTGTATGCCAGCACCAGTGAAATGCTTTCTTTTATAAGAGTTGTTGTGGTTATGGTGCCTCATCAAAGCGATAGAAATCCTAACTAACACACCAGCTAAATTGAATCTTAAGCATGGTTTGCTTTGTGCCTGGTACCTTTCACTCAGCGCCCTGGCTGGAATTCATTTGTATTGTGCATAGATGAATTTAGTTGTACTGCTTAGGTGGTATTACAGCATAAATACAGGCTGTTTTCATTAGGGTTTCTATTGTTGTGATGAAACACCATGGCCAAAAAGCAAGTTGGGGAGAAAAGGGTTTATTTGGCTCATACTCCCATACTGCTGGGCATCACTGAAGGATGTCAGGACAGGAAGTACTGAAACAGCAGGATTCTAGAGGCAGGAGCTGATGGAGAAGCCATGGTGGATGCTGCTTACTGACTTGCTTCCTATAGCTTGCTCAACCTGCTTTCTTATAGAACCCAGGACCATCAATCCAGAGATGCCACCATCCACCATGGGCTTGGCTGTCCCCCATCAGTCACTAATTAAGAAAATGCCTTACAGCTGAATCTTATGGAGGCCTTTTCTCAATTAAGTTTCCTTCCTTTCAGATACTTCTAGTTTGTGTGACAAGTTGACATGAGACTAGATACCACACAGGCACAATGTAATTACATCTATTGACGTTTTGTTTCCAGCTATGATGAATCAAACTTCCATAGACTTTGTGAATAGGTATTTTGGCGGATACAAGGTTTTACTTATAACTAAAAAATCCTGGGTT